AGAAGAAATCTTTAAGAAGAGCAGTCTACTTCTTCATACAGTTAATATTATAGATGAGAACATTATTCTAGATCTTCTATGATTGAGAGAAAATAATTCTCTTATTGACTGAGTTATCTAGATATGATGATATCATCTCACTGATGAAGAGACAGTAATAGAGAAATCTGAAGAGTTTTATTGAAAGAATCTTAAGAAAAAGATAGAGTCAATATACTATATAGCAGATGACTGAGACTTGAAGATAGATAAAGAAGTCATCACTCTTACTATAAGATTAGCAGCAGTATTTATCATTAAAGATGAATATATATAACATCTCTTTACAGATTATAAGAATGTTTTTTCAGAAAGAGAAGTAGTGAAGTTTTCTAATATCAAGATATAATATAAGATTTATCTTGAAGACAGTGTAATAGTACTGTATAAGTCTCTTTATAACTTATCTGTAAAGGAATTGAATGTTCTGTATAAATATCTTAAGAAAGCACAATCAAAGAACTGAATACACTTATCAAAGAGTTCAGTAGAAATGTCTATACTCTTTATATTAAAGAAGAATAATAGACTACATCTATGTATAGACTACAGAGGTCTTAATAAGATGATAATTAAGAATTACTATTTATTACTATTAATTAATAAGATGATTGATTGATTATCTGAAGTAAAGATATTCTCAAAGATTGATATACAGAATATCTATTATAGAATCAGAGTTAATAAAGACAATGTTTGAAAAACAGCTTTTCATATCAAGTATAGTAATTTTAAATATCTTGTTTCATCTTTTAATCTTTATAATACTTCAGTCATCTTTCAGATCTATATAAATAAGATACTGCAGAGCCTTGTTAACATCTTCTATATAGTATACTTAGATAACATTCTAATCTTCTTAAAAACAGAGAAAGAATATGATACTCATATTCAAGAAGTGTTGAGTCACTTGAGACAGTATTAACTCTATATAAATACTGAAAAATACTCATTCTACATGCAGGAGATTGATTTCTTAGATTATATTATTAAGATAAACAGCATTTCAATGAATAAAAGCTGAGTCTCTGTTATTAAGAACTGACTGATATCATGAATATACTGTTATTATTATTATTATTATTATTCTTTCATTATACTCATATGCAAGCGGAGCTTATGATGAGTCCTTGCGTGATGTTAAATACAGGTCAAGTGTTGATTATACAGGAGGAAATACAGGTGTTGAGACCACGCCAAGATAACAAGAACATAGGAAAATACAAAGAAGTGACAATTAGATACATGTGATAATAACTTCCCAGCTCAGGAACATAGAGTGATTCATTGAAGTGATTTATACACCTCTGTATTTATTAGAAACCTGAGGTGCTTGAGTTCCGGATTTAATGTATCTTCTGCGGGTTTCGAACCCACGCGCCTTGGTTTCCCACGCCAAGGCGCTACCGGGTGGCCGCATTAACTATTCGGCCACCGGGGCATGAATGTACTGTGAGATGCAGATGTTTCTGAAATTTGTAAACTTCTATAGATGATTTATCTATACATATTCACAGATTACTGTCTCTCTTACAGATATATTAAAGAGAAGTGTGAAAGATAGAAAAATAGAACTGTTTATTCTCACTCAAGACACTGTGTAAATGTTTGTAGAATTGAAATAAGCTTTTATAGATATTATAATACTGAATCACTTTAATTCTGACTTACTTAATCAGTGTGAGACTGATGTATTCAGAAATGAAGTCTGTGAAATCTTTTCACAGTTAACACTAAAGATCTTTCAATATTGAAAGAATCAGAGAATAATAAACTCTGAAAATATAGATAATAAAATATCTGTGAAAAAAATTTTTTTTACAGAGTCTATAAGATACTGTGAATAAAGATCAGTGATCTTCTTCTTAAAGAAGTTATCACTCATGTAGAGAAGGTATGATACTCATAATAAAGAGATATTAGTAATTATTAAATTCTTTAAGATCTGATGATATTATCTTCAGAGTAGTAAGTACTCAGTGTAAGTTCTCACTAATTATGCAAATCTGTGTTACTTCTTGATAACAAAGAGCTTAACAGAATATTAAGCCAGATAAGTGAAGCTGCTTTCAGAGTATAATTTCTATATCTGATACTGTTCAGATCAGCTTAATCTCACTAATATACTGTCTAGATAATCTGATTATAATATCATTAATACAGAGAAGAATTCTATAAAATAACCTCTGTCATCACTGTAGAAGAAGCTGACTGCAGAGAATTGAGATTCTCTGAAGCTTGAAAACAGCACTGGTAAGACAGCTGTGTGACTCAGTATAGAAGATGAAAGAAAACCTGAGTCTCTGCAGAGAACTGACACTGAAGATCATGAGCTTCTTATATCATATCTTACTATCATTGAATTGATAAAGAATAAAACAGTCTACAATCTTTTAACTTAGCTACTTTTGAAATTTATTAATAAGTTATAGAAGAGAGATGTCTCTACTACAGCTTAAATTTAGAAGTTGAAGAAGAAAGAATTCAGTTTAAACTTGAAAGAGACAGACTCTGAGCAGAGTGATACTGCTAAGAAATCAAGTTACTAATAACTAGAAGAATGTAAACTTCTACTGTTAAATGATTTAGTCTTCATCTCTTATAGCAGAGCAGTGTGTCAGAAGTTATTGAGAATTTATTATAATAATCTTTATACAGAACACTTTAAGTTAGAGAAGACTGAGAAGCTTCTAAAATATAAATATATTTGAGATAAGCTCTGAGCAGATATCAAAGAGTATGTTGAGACTTATAATATCTATTAAACAATAAAGATTCTGTGATATAAGTAATACAGTGAGTTGACATTACTGCCTGTTTTAAAGAACTTATGACAGAATCTATTAATGAATTTTATAGTTGATCTGCTGAAGTCAATAAGAGTCAAAGAATATAACTTAATTTTAATTATTATCAACTATTTTATAAAGATAATAAAATATATCTCTACTTATAAAAAGATTAAAGTCTCTGAATTGACTGATCTATTTTTAAATATCATCATTCATAATTACAGTACTCTGAAATCATTGATAATAGATTGAGAATCTCTCTTCATCAGTAAATACTAATCAGTCTTTTACTATTATCTTATAATAAGATGTCTTCTCAGTACTGTATTTCATCTGTAGAGAGATAATCAGACTGAATATCAGAATCAGACACTGAAACAGTATCTTTAAGTATTCTATTTATATTATTAGAATAATTGACTCAAACATCTTCTAATCACTGAATTCATATATAACAATGCAAAGAATACAATCTTAAAGATATCTTCTTTCTATACTTATTATAAATATAATTCTTCATTACTCAGTGACATTGCAGATAACATTTTAAAGAGAAGAATAGACAGTCAGAATATTAAACAGATATAGAGAACAGAGTACTTCTCAGTATCAGAAATAAAAGTGAGATTGAAACTTTTGAATAAAATTCATGAGAAGACAGTGAAAAGTATTTATCACACTCAGAAGTAGTAGATAGAATACTATAATTGAAAACATCTTTCAATGAAGTTCTTGATAGAGGATTAAGTACTACTTTCAGCAAAGAATATCAAGATAATAAGACTATATAAGAAGCTCAGTGAGTAGTGACTAGAATCTTTTCTAATAATAAAAGTGATGAATAAGTAGATATATAAGTTAAAATTACTCTCAGAATTGAAATCAATTCATTCTATTTTTCTCATTTTCTATTTAAAGCTCTATAAGTAATACTCTGAGATAGAGCTGTCTCAGCTGAAAAATATTGAGATTGAGAGTGATACTGAATATCTTATGAAGAAAATATTGAATAAGTGAATATATTACAGTAAGCTTCAATATCTTGTTAAATAAGAAGATTATTCATTATCAGAGAATTCATGAGAACTGCTTAAGTATTTGAAAAATACTGAGAAAGAGATTGCAAGCTATGAGATAGCTAGTAAAGACTGCTCTATTACATATCAGAGATATTGAGTAAGAAATATCACTTAAGACTTCTTATTTTTCTCAAAGAAATTTTTAGAGATAATCTCACAGTAATAAGCTGATATCTTATAAACTCTGTAGCACTCTTCTTCTATTTTCTCTCAAAGAATTTTTAGAAGTTTAATGAGACTACACAAGTGTAAAATTTCTGAAGCAGTTAATAAGAAAAGAAAGAGATATTTAAAATTAATAAAGATTAATATTATTAATCTGCAGACTGCTGCTATTCTAATAGAGCTGCAGCCTGCTGAAAAAGTAAAAAGAGAAATCAGAGCCTACTCATTAATAATCACACTCTCATCAAACTCATTCTTCATTATTGAAGTCTCTGACACTGATATCTTTATCTGCTGAGAAGTTAGCACTGCAGTACTATAGAGAAGTATACTGTAGAAGAGTATAAGAGATGCTTAAAGTATTAACTTATTAATTTATAAAGCATCTCAGTTATCTACTTCAATTGAAGTGAGATTCTCTTCAATCAGTGATTAATCTCTGTGACACTTTTAATAATGATGTTGACTGATCTCTTCTTAGAATCAGTCATTCTGAGATGTTTTTTCATCTCAGAGATTCACACTTTCATCTTCTTTTATAAATGAGCAAGAGAGATCTCTTCAGTCTTGATAAAATCTGTCAATACTTAGAGCTCTGAGACTCTTACTCTATACTGCTTGAGTATCTGAGCTTCTTATCAGAGCTGATATAACATCTTTCTGTGAGATAATACTTACAGAGAGACAGAAGTCATTGTTACAGATACAATGAAAACAATAAAAGTGAGAGAAGAAATGAGTGTATAAAATTCTCTCTTTCTTCAGCTGCTTAGTGCAGTGCAGGCATGTGATGATACTAATCAGAGACTGTATCAGAGCCTTCTCACAGAGAGAAGACAAGAAAACTGCAGAACTCTGTGAACTCAACTCAGCAGTATTCTGAGCAGGGCTCAGATGTATCATGAGAGAGAAACTATAGATTGAGCTTCTTGAAGCTGTTATTCTCAGAATCAAGCTCTCTTCAAGATTCTCTCTGAATGATCACACAGGGTCATATATCACTGTGTTGACTGAGAGGAGAAATGATGTCACAATGGTAATAAGAGAGACAGAGAAAGGACTGAACACAGACAAATCAATTAGTAGAAGAAATGACATCTCACTGTAAGGTATGACTACTACTGCTGCAGCTGCAAGAGATGCAGGAGAAGAAGATGTGATAATGAGAGTGATGCTTCTGCAGCTCATTGATGCTGCTATCTCTGTCTTCAATCTAGCTCTCTTAACAGTTACAGAGATTGCAGCTGCATCATGAAGATATTTAATCACTAGAAAATATCAGAATAAGCTCTTTATTATCTTTCAAGAATGATACTCTCATACACTCACTATTGCAATTGAGAAGAGAGGAAAGAAAAATATGTTATAAAGAAAGAGAATCTTTTTAAAAAATCCTGTCACTACTGTTAGCTTTGTCTCTAAAATATATCACTTTTGCAGAGAATTTTATATATAGAACAGTATATAATAAGAGATCTGTAAGTCACTTATTAACTACATTTTTTATAATTCAAATTGATATATAAGAAACTCACTTATCACATATTTGATTTAAATAGAGATGAGAAAGAAAGATCTACACAGTCAGCAGAAAAACTCATCTATTTCTTTGTACTACACACAGTATTATATACTGTTAATTAGTTGATAATCATTGCTATACAATAAAGATAACTTCTAATTCAGTAATCTTGAGAGCATCAGAACTATGCTCTTAAAGAGAAGAGTATTATCACACTTTCAGCTGTATTAAGACTCTGTTATAATTTCACACAGCTTATTACTTTCATGTGAATGATTTCATCTCATTTAAACCAGTTTTCAATCACTCTATGATATCATTTGAATATATCATAGAAAGATCTGATTGATGAATATAAGAATCTCACTTTTATATGAGGTCAGCAGATTACTCTTTCTTAGTAGTAAGACACTGCTGAGGTATCACTTCAGCTATTCTCACTTATGAAATGAGAGAAGAATATTCACTCATTATCTATATAAAATAACTAGATGCTGGCTTCTCATCAAAGAAGCCAGTAATTCATTTTTCTTCTACTGAAATATATAGAAGAGTTACTGTGTTTCTCATACAATCTTCTTAGTATACTAAGTATTATATCTGTGATATTCTTGCAATAACTCTGTAGCCTACAAGCTCACTATTCAAGCAAGATAGTCAAGCTTACTTATATGACTTCTCAACAACTATCTCTATGTGACGCCGCTGACTAGCCATCACTTCGGTTCAGCATGTTACAATAAGTAGTGTAGTTCAGACTATATAAAAAACTTACTTCTCTACTTATTTTATAAAAATCTTAAGAATGGTTAGAAATAAACAATCTTATAAATCTCTCTGAAAGTAAAAACATATATAATATCTTCTTTAATAGTGTACTAGTGATAGTAGATTACTTTATCAAGATAATATACTTTATACTCACTTATAGAAACTTAAAGTTAAAGAATTTAACTTATATCTTTATTTATAATATAATCTGATTATATAAGTTATCTGTAAATATTATCTTAGATAAAGAATTAATCTTTATAGAGAAGTTTTAATCTAATCTGATAATTATACTAAAGATCTTATAAGATTTAAGTATAGTTTTTTATTAACAGATAAATAATTAAATAGAATATTTAATAAGTATATTAAAATAGTATCTACAGTACTTTATTAATTACAATCAGAATAACTGAATATATTAATTATCACTTACAGAGTTTATATATAACAACTTAAAATATATTAGTATAGATAAAATTCTCTTTGAAATAAATCTATAAGAGTATACTATAGAGTGTAATAATATCTGTGAACAGACTGAGAGAATTTAGAATATTTAAGAGAAAGTCTGCGAATCTTTAAAAAAGACTTAAGAGTATTAGAAGAGATACTGTAACTTTAAGTATATTATAAAGAGTTTTAAGAAAGATAATTTAATCTGACTAAGTCTGAAAAATATTATTATATGAAGATTTAATAAGAAGCTGAATCTCTTATAAATAGAATTTTATAAAATTATAAAAAAAGTTAATTTATAATTCTATAGATTAAAATAATTATCTGAGTTATAAATATATAATATTTTTTATATTTCTTTACTCTGTAAATATAAGAAATTTCTAGAAGAGAACTCTGTGACTCATCACTCTATTTATAAAGTATTAAAGAGTGAAAGAGAATATCAGATTAAAGAGATTATTAACTCAGAAAAGTGAGATTATAAGCTCTAATTCAAGATTCAGTAATAAGAGCATTCTAATAAGATAAATAAGTTCACTTAAGAATTATTCAGATAGATAAAATATCTATAGAAGCTGAGATATAATTTTTATATTATAAATTTTAATAAGTTACAATAATATAGTCTTCACTAAGAATCTGACTATATTAAAGATATTACACTGTTATTTATAAACTCTAATCTATAAAAATAATGAGTTTCTACTGAGATAAACAGTTTATAATATATATAAAGAGAAGAAGAAATTATATTATTATTAAAGCTAAATAAAGAAAAATAAAAACAGAGCTATAAATATAATTTAAAGATTAATAAAGATAAAATAAAGAAAACTTATACTTATATTCTTAATATTTATAATACTTAAATCTCTTATAACTATTAATTTCTCTCTTTAAAGAAGTAGAGAGTATTATACTTATAGTACAGATAATTGTTATATTTAATATAAAAACTATTAGAAATATATAGACTTTAAAAGAGTTAAATATCAGAGTATATACAGTTATAACAAAGTCTTGAGAGGTGATTATCTATATATATAATCAGATATCTTTTATAAAGCTATATCTGTTTTCTCAGTTATACTGAAGTATTTAGTCTGAAAATAATTAAAATATAAAGAGAGAGTTTATCTACTCAGATTAACTTCTATTATAAATTTATAATATTTATATTATCTTAATTATCTGAATTTTATAAGTATCTGAAAACTTATCTCTTATTAATAATAAAATTATAGAAATATACTACAGTGTAAGAACTATTAATAGAGAATCTAGACATATTTATATATATCTAATCAGAGATTATATAGATAAAGAGAGAGGAATTATAAATTTACAGAGTTATAGAGAGTACTAATAGTACTGAGAGCTTTATAAAAACTATCAGTTAAAGTCTGTAAGAAATTACTTATAAAGAGATTTATAGTAAAGAGTAGAACTATACTACTAAGAGTTAAAAACTAATCTGAAGAAGATACAGAGTTAGCTGTTAATTTAAAGATTTGATACAGTAATAAGTCTGAAAAGAGTAAAGATACTATTATAAGTAATAATATCTCTATATTATTAACTAATAGAAAGTGATCAGAGATATTATAAAAATACTTATAAAAAGCTTAACAGTAATTAGATATTATTTATAAAGATACTAAAATTAAAAATTTTTTTAATTCTTAAGAAGTTCTTAAATTAATATATAAATATTATTAGAAATACTCTCTCTCTATTATCTAAGTAAAAATACTTTATAGATAAATAAGAATACTTATAGTTTATAAGAATAAGAGCTATTATAAAAAAAGAGAAAAGAAAATAAGATTTTATAGATAGATCTGAGATAGTTATACTATTTTAAAGAGATTTATTTATACTATAAGTAATCTCATAGAATAGTTAGATTACTCTAGTAAATAAAGAATAATTATATATTATAGATCTGAATCTTTCTATATAATTATAAAGAGTAATTATAGACTATAAATATCTTAATTCTATAATTTTATAGAGTTAATAAAAGAATGAATAATTTCTTATAACTCTATAATATTAAAGAATAATGATTTATAAGAATAAGTAAAAGATTAACTTATAAATACTTCTTTTTAATAAGAAAAATCTTATAGAAAGTAATTCATCTGTGAAATAAATCTATATAATAGTTATATAAGAATCTTATGAAAAAATAATTAAAGATTAACTAAAATTCTTCAGATTAAAAGATATAAAATAAATCTATATAATAATTATATAAAAATCTTATAAAAATAATTAAGAGTTAATCAGAATTCTTTCATATAAAAGATATAAGATAAATCTATACAATAGTGTGGTTCGGAAGAACGTACGACCGCCGGATAATAACGCGGCCGCTTCCGAACTTGCTTACGAATGTAAAGGGGCCATAGCGGCCATCAATTAATTTAGTGTACAGTATATAAGAAGCTGATATACATCTGTAATTATATACTGACTCAAGCAATCTTTGAATCACATCTGATAGCATGTCTAAAAATCAGTGAGAAGTACAGACTTCTTCAGAATGTGATAATTCTGTCTATAAAGTGATTTATAGTTATTATATCAGTGTGATTCTAAAAATATCTCAAAAGATAGTATATAAAGAGTGATGAGTGAAAGAGCATCTGATTAATGCTGCTTTACTTGTTAAGAAAAAACTTCACACTCAGGTGAATGTCATGTATGAGATGTGAACAGATGAGATGTGAGAAAGAGAATGAGAGCAGTGAACCAGATTCAAAGAAGTTCACTTTCTACTTAAAAGAAGAATAAAAAGAAGAAGTGATCATCATCAGAGTTATATAATGATAACAGAAATCATATAACAATATAGTGATATAATAATATAGTGATATAATAATATAGTGATATAATAATATAGTGATATAATAATAGACATTATATAATTAATAAGAAATCACTGAAATGAATATCTTTTCTAATTAATATAAATAACATTCTTCTCTGCTATCTGAACTGAAAGATATGCAGAACCTCTCAGAGAGTTTACTTGAAACAGTAAGAAAAGCAGCTGAAACTGCTGAACTGAAATTGAAGCTTTATACATATATGAGAATTCTAAATGAAATCAAGGCCTTGTGTACACAGTGGCAGACTGAGGTGAAAGTTAAACAATAATTAATATTCACTGCAGATCAAGCATTCACTATGAAGAGCTTCACTGACACAATTATCATTATTAATAAGAATAGAGAAAACCAGGTCTTAGACCTGCAGTGAGAGATTGAATGTTTACATAGATAGATAACTACACTGAATCTGAAGATCTTATCATGATTA